CAGGTGCCTCTCTCTTTCCTTTCCAGGTTCTTCCAGTTCTTTTAACATGTCAAACTCTGGAGATTTGTTCATGAGCGTGCAGTCACTCAATGGGGATTCTTACCAAGGGGCCCAGGTTGGAGCCAACGTGCAATCACAGGTAGGGACCCAGCCAATGTGCCGCCAGGTGAATGCTTTAGCGTCCAAGAGCCCTCAGTCGGATTGGCACCTCCTGCTTCTGTCCAGAGAGAGAGACGGACAGACAGACAGAGATGTAGAAACAAAACCTTACCAACAACCAAACCGAATCAAAGACAACCATTGTCGTGGGGAATCTCGTCCACACTTTGTGAATGCGTTTGGCTCTGGCTTGTCAGTCACACTAGGAGGGCAGGAGAGCGGCAAGCACAGGGTAAGGTGACTAAGGCCCGTCAGGCAAGTGGACCCAGTGTATTCTTTGCTCATGAAAGGGAAAGGGAGGAGGAGTTGAGTCCATCAGTTCACTTTTCAGGTCCCTCTCTTGTTTGTTGCTTTTCCACACTCAACATTTGCCCAATATAGAGGTCATGAATGACTAGGCACATACCTTAGGATCTCACGTTTTCATTTTAACCTTTAAAAACACCCAGCCAGGTTGACTAAACTCATCTTCTTAGTCATCCTTGAGGTCAAGGGATTTGGGTTTCTGGTGATGAGTCTATAAGTCCATGCTGGGAAACAAAAATCAAGCGTGTGGTGTAAACCCTTAGCACTCCCTAGTCGGCAGCTCGCCTTCACGAGAGCTCAGAAGCCATCCTCCTGTGTCAGCACACAGCCTGATGTGACAGGGTGAGGTCCTGTGCTCTGGGTCAGAATCGCTAGGGAAGTTCTGAGCCAAGCCCATCCAGGCTCCCACCCTGCCAGAGGAGCAGGAAGCATTACATGCCTGGAAGAGACCACCTGGCCGGTGATTCAGCCCCCTGCTCAGGAAACATTGCCTGGAAACAAGTTTGAGGAGATATGGTCAGACTTCGGTCAAATAACTAAACAGCTGGCCATCATTTAAGTCCTCAGAGAGACAACATTAGTCACACACTGCTCTGTCTGTGAGGGGCCTGGCCAAGCCCCTCTACACAGAACCTTGACTTTTGTAGGATCCCCAGCAAAGAAGTTAGGCAGGATGATCCGGAGAGCAGGGAAAATCCCTTCACTCTCCCCACTCTCAGCCCCTCTATCACCCAGTCCCTGCCATCTCATGCAGCATTGTTCAATTAGTTTCAGTGTTGGGAATCCCAGCTTTCTTTGACCATTTTTCTGTCTTGCTTACTGAAATCAGAAAGGATAGTGGATTCGGCATAGAGAGCAGGCCCAGCCTCCTCCTAATGGTTCCTTTCCCAGGAAGAATGTCTCCAGTGATCGCATTAATCTGGCGAGCCCAAATGGTAGCCTGTGTGATGATGATGTGCCTCCCTTTCCCTGCATCTCCCTGACTAATTTCCTCTCTGTTGTTGTTCATCTGTTTAGGTGGATACCCTTCGCCATGTTATCAGCCAGACAGGAGGATACAGTGACGGACTCGCAGCCAGTCAGATGTACAGTCCGCAGGGCATCAGTGTAAGAAAACAAGGCTCCCCCCGCCACCCGTTGTTTTTATTCTATCACTATCAATTAGTTCAAAGCCATAGGGCTCAGAATGCCACTTAGTAGGACTTCTTAGCTTTACGGTCACCTATTTCTTGTTTCTGTATCGGTCATGCCATCGGCAGCATTCTACCCTCAAAAAAAGTGGCGATTGGGCAGGCTTCATGCAGGCAGCTGGCGTCTAGGGCTGTCACACACAATCAGTGTTTGCATGGCACCTGCGGCCACATGCGTTCAGCTGAGAGGGGCTGCTAAACAGGTGACACCTAGTACAACAGTGGTAGGAAACGTCCCCACGAGCGGGGGCCTGGGAACCTGGGGAGAAAAACCAGCAGCCGAAATCCATTGCATCCAGGTCTGTGGTCTTAAACAAAAATACCTTTCTCCCATCTAAGGACGATTAAAAAAAATTAACACAGAGGTTGGGTATATGCTGAAGGGATGGGGAGGGGTGCAGACCATCTTCTACTTGCTCTTGGTTACGCTGGCGGCTCCTGACTAGCATGAAAATTCATAGCGACAAGCTATGTCGCACAGAGTGAAATCGATCAGACAGACACAAGGAGAATCGAGTGTAGATTTGGGACAGCAATCCAACTTGATTTCTCAGATCAATCGTCCGCTATCACAGCAGCGGTGACAGCAAGCTGGGACAAGGGGGCAGCCTGGAAAAGGAAGCTGTTCTTTAGATCAGAGGTGATTTCCTGGGCTTTTAGAGGTCATATGATGCTCCAGTAGAACTATTGGCTCAGAACTGTCTAAGAAAACTATGATTGGATGATGGCGAGGATTTCTTGTTGTTGTTTCTGTTGTTAGGATTTAAATAAATTGGGGTTGGAGGGAAGGAAAGGTAGGCATAGTGTGTTGATGTAATTCTAGCCTATACTAATTGAGGTAAGGTATCTGCAATGAAAAAGGTGATAGCTTTTTAACTCTGCATTGGTGAAATCATATATGACAATGGCCAGACTAGAAGGAAGCAAGAGGATACCAGATGTTTCATCAGATGAGGAACGGTTGAAAAAATTAGGAATTCTTAGCCCATTAAAGAGAAGGTTTGGCTGGTAAGTAATAGTTTAAGACACGCTGTCATCGGTGAGAGAGATTGGATTCATCGTGAATGATCTAAAGGGAGGTGGGATAGATCACTGCATAGAAGATTCAGGGGAACAGATTTCACTTCAACATCTCAAGGGCCTTTCTAAGATGCAGCCAGAGTTGTCCGAAGAAGGGATCTTTTGCCTCTGGAAGCCAAGAATTCCCCATCATTGGCGCGTTCAGACATAGTTTGGCTAACTACTTGGTAAGGATGTTGTAGAAGGGAGTTAAGTACCAGCTGATGACTGTCTTGGTGACTTTTAAGGCCCCTTCCAATTAGGAATTCTTCCTTAGGCAGAATCTCCTCTGAGTTTATATAATATTTATCAAGTTCCTCTCTGGGAGGGAAGGAGGGAGGTTAGAGCTGACCCTGTTAAACATACTCTGGGCACCTGTGACCCTTTTTTAGAAAGGGTTTCCAGAGCAGAGGGATTGTTCCCTTCTTGTGCTTATACTAATTATTATTCCTGTATTCGTGGCTGACTTGTCAGACGCCTGCTTAGAAAAAAATCCAAGATACCATGGTGGAGAATTATGTTCTCAAAAATGGATTCCAAATGAATTAAGTTGTTCTGTGTTTGTATGGGGAGGTTCAAGCACATAGGCATTTATCCATCTCCTGGATCTTTTTGAGCTAGAAGATCGGTCTTTTGCAGAAGAAGTTTTGCTCTGCATGTAAGTGGAAGAGAGGAACATGAGGAAAGTATAAGAGTGTGGGGAGGAGACTATGGGCGCACTCAGAAAGAGAACTGCAGAAAGTCTACATGACTGGGCAGGAAGTGGGGCTGACAGTTCTGCTATTTGGCATCTTTCTTTCCTAATTGGGTAGCACAGAAGAGAGCGGCACTCAGACTCTGGGGGGTCAGCGTTGGCCCCTCTGACGTCATCTGGTGGGCTGGGAATCATTTCTGAAATAGTGTAACCAAACATGTGCAGATCATTATGTCTGATTACATAAGCCCACCGCAAAAACTGGGCTGGAAAATGCCACTTGAAAGAGTCTCTCATTTTGCATTAATTTTTTTCCCCTGTGAACTGTTTATTTTATTTCTGGGTCTTTAAGACACAGGGTAAATGAACCAAAGGCTGATCGTGACACGGTCTGTTCCTTTGGTATCAATTTTAAGTTGTGCCACCTTGCAGGAGACTAAGCTTGTGAGATGTATTTTTAGAGAGTGGTATTAGATGCCGAGGCATGCGTATGTGCAGAGAGGGGCACTGGCTGCTAGGAGAAATGAGAGAGAGAGAGAAAAGGAGGTAGACAAGAAGAGACAAGGACAGGGATGAAAGATTTGAGCCAATGAATAGAAATAAACAATTCCAAAACCCATGGCGGCAATGGAATTCCCAGCTGGGCTCTGGATTGTGTTTCATTCAGTGGAGGACATTTTCTGGGCAGCCTTTATCTAGTCCCCTGCCTGGGTTTTCACAGCACTCACATCTTATCCAACCAGCGTCTATTTTAAATCTTGTAGAGTTCAGACGGCTTGCCTTTAACTAAGGCCATGTAGTGATCGGGTTGCAAGGTGTGGTGGTGAGAGCCCTGCGGTGGGAGTTGGGAGACTCTGGTCCTTGTAACTCTCATGTGCCCATGGGCAGGCGTCAAACCTTGTCTTTTATAAAATGGGGCCAGTAATTCTCACCCTTAGTACCTTCATGACTGCTTTAGGGAAAATGAGAAAATAGGTAGGAATGGGCTTGGCAAAGCACAAGTTTTTCCACGTGAATGCAGCATGAAAAGTTATAAGTGATAACTTTCTAATCTGACCTTTTTCCTCCTCTTGTGTGAGCAGCTTTCCCAGTAGGTAGTTCCTAGTGAGGATAGGTTAGGACACAGTTGTCACTTTTTTCTCTTCTGATGGAAAGGTACACTTTCGACAAGGATACAGAGTTATGCAAGGCCTAAGGACCCCCTTCCTTAGCCAGAGTGAGCGTTAAAGACCCTGGGTCTTTAAGATGCAGGCTAAATGAATCAAAGGCTGATCATGATACGGTCTGTTCCTTTGGTATCAATTTTAAGTTGTGTTAAATTGTACCTTTTTGAGTGCTTTGTATTCTCAAATGACAACGGGCAATGCTTACTGGGTTTAGAGTGGCGCTAAGTGATGGAAGGAGATTACTTCACTTCTCTGTCAGTTAGACAGACTGAAAGATCACTTAGCTATCGCATCCACTCTTTGGTTTCCCTTCCCACTGCCACCATCCTCGTTCTAGAAATGGTTCATTAGCTAGGCTATCGTGATTATTTCCTAATTACCGTTACTGCCTTTAGTGTCTCCTTTCGCCTGCACACATCCCCAGAATTTTGTCATTCCTTGCCCAGAAATCAAGAGCACTTCTCTATTACCCACCTAAGCAAGTTGAATCCCTGAGTCGGACATTTTCAGAGTCTTCCACGCTCCGGCCCCATCTACCTATCCATCCCCCTCACTCCCCAAGTCATACTGACTCTCCCACGCCCAGATCCTCCTTTGCTGTTTGTCTTCTTCTCCTTAGCCCTCCTTCCTCTCTTCTCTCCACTTTATCACACACACACTCCCTTGCCTTATAGATACATGCACAGACACACTCAATCAGTCTTTGTCTTTCATTCCCAAATACGCATGTGGTCCCAAAATGCATATATTAGTTGCTCAAAACATGTTTGTTGAATGAATAAATCAGAAGACAAGCTACCACTGAATTTAAAAATGCCACATCTTATGTAACAGCTGTAAAATACCTAGTAATGATTTTTCTCTTAAATGCCTTACTAACCCACAAATAGACTATCTTTTTTAATCCAAAAAGCTTCTTAAGTCTTTCTTTTTGGAAAAAGTTTCTAAACTTTTTGACCAAGGCAGATTCTCTGAGAATTAAGAGTCAGATCAGCATTAAATAGATGAAGTTATAGAGTGATGATATTGTCAAGAGAATTATCCCTTTGAATTCTTTAGCGCCTTCTTTCCTAAAAGAATCCCCTTATCCAAACCTGCCTGTGGGGTAGCCATCTACACAGCAAGAGAACGTCGTTTCTTTTTTTTTTTTTAATTTTGTTGAAGTGTAGTTGATTCACAATGTTGTGTTAATTTCTTCTGTATAGCAAAGTGACTCAGTTATGCATATATATATTCTTTTTCATATTCTTTTCCATTATGGTTTATCACAGGATATTGAATATAGTTGTGCTATACAGTAGGACCTTGTTGTTTATCCATCCTATATATAATAGTTTGCATCTGCTAATCCCATACTCCCAATCCTTCCCTCCCCCATCCCCACTCCCCTTTGGCAGCCACAAACCTGGAGAACATCGTTTCTCATGGGGTTCTCACTGCTTTCTCTACCAGACGTGGGACTAGAACCTGCACAAACGGGTGGACAGTGGCAGCAACCTGAAATCGGGAAACTTGGATCCTTCTTGTGGCTTTTCTTCTGGCGAGTCTCCTCATCTCTGTATTGCTGCTTCATCTGTCAAATTTATCCCATCAACAAGCTCTAAGGTCCTTTCAGCTTAGTAGTTCTGGAGTCCTACAAGTACGGTTTTTGATTCCTACTGTTCACTCAAGGGACACCAGGCTCAACTGTAGGCTCCTCTTTCCAGAAAACTCTTTCCGTTGAGTTAGTCTCCGCCATCTTTTCTAGCCTACCCTATTGCTTCCCCTTTCAGTTGGATCTTTAGGGAAGGAGGAAGAGCTTGCATTACATGAGCTTCTCCCTTTGAATTCACGGAGATTTGTGGTAGCAGAAAGCATTAGTCTTTAGGGTGAAATTATTTTTGATTATTTTAAAATGTGAGAGGGGACTTCCCTGGTGGTCAAGTGGTTAAGACTCGGTGCTCCCAATGCAGGGCGCCTGGGTTCGATCCCCGGTCAGGGATCTAGATCCCACGTGCC